CCTAGTTCGGATCTCACATGAGGGCCAGTGATGCTGCTCCCCCTACAGTTAAGATGGTGAACAACAGCTCAACCTGGAGCTGGGCTGCCGTGAGTGGCCTGCAATGGTGTAGGCTGCAGCAGGGCTGGTCTGCAGTGGGTGTGAGCTTTCGTGGGCTGCCGTGAGCCACCGTGAGCGGCTGTCCAATGGCTGGCATGTGACTGCCTCAACCGGGAAGAGTGCAATGATCACAATACCAACATGGGCCAGTGAAGTGACGTCCTCCACAACTAGACTGAAGAACAAAAGGACAGCAACTTGTCTGTTCCCCTTCCCCAATTCCCCAATAAAATCTTAAAAAAAAAAAAGAGGCCTTTTTAAAATACAGGCTACTGTAGCTAAAACTGATTTGTAATAGAGCTAAGGTTCTTTACAAAACTACTAGAACATAATAAGGATAAAAGAAAATGACTGTATATGGAAAGTAAGATGTATGTTTTCTGTAAAAGCAGGTATGAAAAAAAGGAGATGCACTTTTGTTGAGGGGAAGGAAAATAAAATGTGTTTTTTGGCTAAGGAATGATATAAAAGACACAGTATTTTGTTGTTTTTTTATTGGTAAAGGAAAAAAAATAATTTTTTCCTAAAATAAAATGATTGTTTCAAAATGAAAAAGAAAAGGACATAAGCTGAAGGGTATATGCAGAAGGTTTATGGAAAAGGAAGCTTGAGGAAAGAATTTTATGTGTACGTAAGCTGACCAAGAGTGGAACAGATTACTAAGTGAATTGCATCATTTTGGTGTTATGTGAATTCTCACCAGACCCTTAATCATGGACATTTTTATGTCTTGTCATTTGCAGACAGTTATTATTATATTTTACTCTGATGCTTTTGCAAAAGTGTTCCTGCCAAGATGCATCTTCAAGGAGATTCATGGAACGACTGACAAGTACAGACTGACAAGTACAGGTTTCTGATAACTAAGGTCAATTTGCCTTCATGTGGGAGGGACAATAATAATCCTTTCAAGTGCTTCCCCAAGGCTGCCTGCATAGCCCCATGATACTCACAGGACAGTAGCCCAGGACCTGTCCCTGTTGTCCTCCCCATCTCAGTAAAACGTTACCTTGTGAAGACTTGCCTCTGCTGCAGGACACTGCAGACCTTGCTGGAATACCTGCCAGGGAAAACATGGATGGTAAACCCACAGAAAATGCAAGGCCCAGGCCCCATGCTAAGGTTTTTTGGAGTTGTTCGGTCAGGTAAGACCCATATTTTCCCAGAAACTATGCTCGATGAGAAGCAAGCCCATCCAAATCCTATGAATGTAAAGGAGAGGCAAGCCTTTGTAGAGATTTTTGGATTTTAAAGGCCTTTTATTCCCCAAAGCATTGGAATAGAATCAAGAACCCACAAATAATCCCACACATATATGGTCAACCAATATTTGAGGAGAAAGCCAAGAATAGTTAATGGGAAAAGGGTGGTCTCTTCAACTAATCGTGCTGGGGAAACTGGATATCCATGAGCAAAAGAATGAAAATGGACTGCTATCTTCCTTATCTTACATCACTCACAAAAAATAACTCAAAATGGATTAAGGACTTAAGATCTGAAACCATAAAACTCTTAGAGAAAACAGAACAAAAAAGGCAGTTGACATTGGTCTTGACAATGATATTTTTCATTTAACACCAAAAGCACAAATAACAAAAGCCAAAATAAATAAGTGGGACTACATCAAACTAAAAAGCTTCTGCAGAGCAAAAGAAACAACAAAATGAAAAGGCAAACTTTGGAATGGAAGAAAATACTTGCAAGCCATCTATCTGATACGGAGCTAATAGATATACTATCCAAAATATAAAAGGAACTCATACAATTCAAAAGCAAAAAAAAATGCAATTAATAAATGGACTGATGACTTGATAGACACTTTTGTGAAGAAGACATACAAATGTCCAACGAGTACATGAAAAGGTGCTCAAATCACTAATCATCAGGGAAACGCTAATCACAACCACAATGAGATATCACCTCACACCTGTTAGAATGACTATTATCAAAACTACAAAAGATAACAAATGCTGGTGAGGTTGTGGAGAAAAGGAAACCGGTGAACTCTTGGTAGAAATATAAATTGGTACAGCCACTATGGAAAACAGCATGAAGTTTCCTCAAAAAATTAAAAATAGAACTACCCTATGATCCAGCAATTCCACTCTGGGTATACAAGGTCAGACAATTAAGATTGCAAACTCACCCTCGAGAAAGTGCTACATACCTCATTGCTGAATATCACTGTGGTCACCTTTGAAGTACTCCCCTTGGGAAGCTATGCACCGACGCCAGCACCTAGTCCACCCTTCAAAGCAATTTCGGAATTCTTTTTCTGGAATGGCCATCAGAGCTGTTGTCGTATTACCCTTAATGTCCTGAATGTCATCAAAATGTCTTCCTTCAATATTTCCTTTATCTTCAGGTAAAGAAAGAAGTAATTGGGGACCAGATCAGGTGAGTAGGGAGTGTGTTCCAATACAGTTATTTGTTTCCGGGCTAAAAACTTCCTCACAGACAGTGCCTTGTGAGCTGGTGCATTGTTGTGATGCAAGAGCCATGAATTGTTGGCGAAAAGTTCAGGTTGTCTAACTTTTTCACACTTCCTTTTCAGCACTTCCAAATAGTAAACTTGGTTACCTGTTTGTCCAGTTGGTACAAATTCATATTGAATAATCCCCCTGATATCAAAAAAAAGGTTAGCAACATCATTGCAAAAAGTTAGCGAACTTAACTGCAACCCTCATATATGTGAAGAATATGAAATCCGTATTTTGAAGAGATATCTGCACACCCATGTTCAATGCAGCATTATTCACAATAGCTAAGTCATGGAAACAACGTAAGTGTCCGTTGACAGATAAATGGATAAAGAAAATGTCACACACACACACACACACAGATATGCACAATGAAATATTATTCAGCCATAAAAAAGAAAAAATCCTGCCATTTGGGGCAACATGGATGGATCTTGAGGGTGTCATGCTAAGTGAAATAAATCAGACAGAGAAAAATCAATACTGTATGATCTCACTTATATGTGGGATCTAAAAACATCAAACTCATAGAAACAGAGAATAGAATGTTGATTACCATGGGCTGAGGGGTGGGGGAAATGTTGGTCAACAGGTACAAATTTTCAATGAGAAGTTCCAGTTTCTAAGCCACCGCATGGTGACTATAGTTAGCAATACTGTATTGTATACTTGAAAGTTGCTATGAGAGTAGGGCTTTAATGTTCTCATCACAACAACAATACAAAATGGTAATTATGTGCTGTAAAGGATGTGTTAACTAACCTTATCATGGAAAACATTTTGCAATATATCCATGTATTAAATCATCACACTGTGCATCTTAAACTTACACAGTGTTACATGTCCATAAAGCTGAAGAAAAAAAAGAGGGCTTGGGGTAAGACTCAGGAAGAACGTCCTGAAAATGTGAGAGCACTTGAAGTCAGCTGTATGTGATGTCCGTGAGGGGTGCTGACTGAATCAGACCTGGGTCCACATTAAATCCTCCTGGATTAATGCAGTGTTAGAATCTCAAAAGCGTTTGAGAAGTACAGACTATAGAGCTCCTTCTTAACTTACAGGTGAAGTCGAGGCCCAGGGCATCAGATGGGATACCCCATTCTGGGTTCTGGGCTTTCTCAATGACTTTCCCACACTCCCATTTCACTGGGAAACTTTTTTAGTTCAACACATGATCAGTACCCATTATTTGCCAGGCTCTGGGGTAGGAGGTGGTGATTCAAAGATACATGTGAATGAAGCTTATGATCTAATTGGTGAGATGGAGAGCTTCAGAATTAATTATATTATACAAGATAAGAATTATTAATAGATTTTAATTATATGGTAAGTGCATAAATGAAATTGCTAAGTGAAAAAAAAACAGGAAACAAATTTGTATATATGTTCTGATCTCGTTCCGTTAAAAAAAAAATACATAGGAACTTGAGAAATGCAGTAACCCACTAATGAACCAAGTGTTATGGGACATGCTAAGACCTTGGTTATAAATACTTGCGCACTTACTTGATTTCCCTGCCTCGAGGGGCAGGCCAGTTTTTGTGTTCATTGTTGCATCTGTGCATCTTTCCCCAGATTTACCACCGGGTACAAGCTCAGGAGATGTTGAATCAGTGAAGTTCCCTTCTGCAATCTGTCCCCACCCCAAAGGATCACCTCTCCTAAGGAGGAGAATAAAAGAGAATGACAAAGGGTGTACTTAGAATTCAGGTGGACTGGGGAAGCCAAGGACCTTAAAGAATACTCGCCAAAAGTTAAAAAAAAAAAAAAGTGCTTACTACCCTCCCGACAAATGGAAACTGACGCGCTCCCCCTGCAGGCGGCACAGGGTGCCCACAGGACTCGGCAGCCCAGCCCGCAGTAGCGGGTCCTCGGGTGGGGTATCGGTGCTTGCGGGAACCTTGGGCTACAGGTAACTTCGCACTTGGTTCTGGCACAAGTCGGATTTGCCTTGAGGGGTGTGCGCCCTTGGAAGCGAGGTCCCCGAGAGAGGTGGCTTGGGATGGGGTTGGAGCCCCTGGTTCTTCTAGATGGCTGGGGTCTAAACAGGGAGCCGAGGGAATGAGACTCAGAGAATTCTCCTCCCCCCATACACTTGAGACTATCTTCTTAAGATATTTAAGGGATGCATACTGTCACAGGATCAGAGGTCTCCTGTGAACCCATTCAAGAATTTTCCCAAAAGCTTAATTAATTCACTCTGGAGACAAAGATGCTGGGGTGGGAGGTTGCCCGGTCTGCCAGGCACCTCCAAGTAAAGCCCCCCACTTGGCTCCTTCTCCCGCTCCCTCTCTCTCCCTCCTCTCCTCTGGCCCACCTCCTTCCCCCTTCGCCTCCCCCCGCGTCCGCTTGGCGTCATCGCCCCCTTTCCCCTCCCATCTCCCCTCTGTGGCGCGCCGCTCGGCTCTCGCCTCCTCCGCAGTCTCTGCCGCGAGCTGGTGGTGCGAGCCTGGCGGTGGCGGGGCGGCCTCCGGCTCTGGCTGTCCGCTAGGCTCATAGCAGCAGCGCCCCCGCCCTCCCTTCCTTGCCAGCGTTGGTGACTGCCTTGGGGGCTCTTTGATTTGAGCTGGGCAGCACCCCAGGGACTGAATAAGCTTCACAGGTAAGGATGGAGCCGCCCCACCCCCACCACAGGGCGAGACCCTAGAGCTTGGAAGTTTCTCCGAGAAAGGCAGAATCCATCTGAGGAGAGCTTCTTTGAAGGGCTCTGAAGATAGCGACCAAACTTAGTATTCTAAGTCCTCCAAGAAACGAACTTCTCTTCCAATAGGCAATTCTGAATGTCGGCCTCTGCACAGTTTAATATTAACAGTAACAATGTTTGCATTGGAATATAAATGGAATTCTTTCTACTTAAGCAGAACCAGAGGGGACCCTCTTTATTTTTATGATTATTAACAGATGCCATTGAAAAAGGTGTAAAACGCATTCCTGGAAAGTCTACTGTTGAAAGCCTCTTTGGCAGAGTTACTATGAACGCTAGAATCAATCAGTCTCTCTCCTATCTTCTCTTTTTTCTTTCCTCTCTCTCACTCTTTCCTTTCCTCTCTCTCATCAACTTGGCTGCACAAGTCAGCAAAAGGAGCCGTGGAAAACATTTTTAAATGAGAAGGTGAAATGAAATTGAAAAGTCTTGGTCTTGCTTTAAAATACTCTAGCAAAAAAGGGGGGGGGGAGCGGGATAGAGAAAACAGATTGGCAAAATATTGATCATTGTTGAAGCTGGGTGATGAGCACATGTGGATATGCTTTTTTCTCTACTTAAAATACTTTTTATTCTACTTTTTGTGTAGATTGGACATTTCCTATAATAAAAAGTTTTTGAAAGTTGTAGAAACATTGTGGCCTGATTCCTCTGACCTTTTAATACTGTCATTGATTTGAAATAAGGCTGCACGTCCTATCTAGGTGTTTCCCCCCGCTTTTTATTACTCCTACTCACTTCTGAAATTCTCATTTTATCCCAAGAACATTTGTCTCTACAGAGGATTATAAAAGTCATATTTTGCTGCTTGGAGAATTATGCTTAGAATCTGGTTTACAATTTGAAGAAAGAATGTTAAAATCCCAGCCAAATAAGACAGCTCGGCTTGAAAGTAGTGGCCAAGCATCATTTGGAATTTTATTTTTTTAAAGGAAATATTAGAAGAGCTCCTTTAGTGTGAGAAGAGATTGAACTCTCCAAGCTTTTCTTCCAGACAGCTCAGAAATCTGTACACTTTTAAGAATCTGTTTCATGTTTCTAAGCGTGAGATTGTTTAGCCTATGTGCTTGGCACATAGTATGTGCTCATTATGTGTTAAAATAAGCAATTGCTAATGTTAGTTAATTTCCCCTATTGAGTAGATTATCTTTCTCTGCCCAAAGTTCAAGGCAAGCATATTGCATTTGAACAGCAGGCTCATACTCAGCATTTTGGAGGCTGAAGCTACCTCACTTAGCACTGAGTTAACTTTACAGATGAGAAATCTGAGGTGAGGTGTTAGGAAACAGCAAAGTCAAGTTATAAAATAATAACATTTTTTCTAAAATGTTTAGAAAAACATTTTAACTGAAAGTTTTTCAAAAGCTTCAAAGGTTAAACTGATGTATGATTAGTGAAAAACATTGCGATCATAAGATGCTTTAAAGCCTGAAAAGCAGCACACCTAATGCATTTACTAACATGCTTTGCTTTCACAGGTCAACGTGCAAGATATAAATATAAATTGGGAGCTATGCTGATATGCTGAGCTCTTCCTATGTCAGTGCATGAGCCAACCAGCAGAGGATTCCCTTGGGGCTCCCTTACTGGGTTCACTCCCAATTTGATTTGCATATCCATTGCATAAATTGAAATGTAAATGTCCTGGAAAAATAGCTAAAAAACAAATGGGAAGGTATTTTTTATTGTGATGAGAAACAGAAGGTGTGGGTTACTGTAAAATAATCAACTGTGTAACTTTACCATCTTCCTGTCCCTCAAGTGCTGCCAAACTCTTAAAGCAGACATTGCTTTGTCTCCATTCCTGAAACTGAACTTGAAAATAGTGCTATGGTATAATATTTTGAATAGACATTGGCACATTGTCAATGAGCTTTCTTGCCATTTATTTTCAGCATCAAATCAGCAGAGAGCATATCCTTTAGGAATGGATTATGAAGTATTTGATAAACATATGTGAAATATTTGGCAGGTTAGAGATTTTCCTTCGTGTTGAAATGCATTGCAGCCATTTGGGGACTATTTAGCAGTGCTGTAGGTCATAGTGGAAATGTGCTGGCACTACAATAGTTTTTAGAAAACCACCTGCCAGAAAATTGTCTGGCCGTGGACAGCATTATCAGTTCTCAGTTCATCAGGATGGGTTCTGTGGCCTGTAGGTGGGTTTTCTAAATGTGATAAATTCCATATGTGACAACCATTTTGTATATTATTAGTCAGTCAGACTTCTCCCGCTGCTGAATTCCATATGCTTTTAAAATAAATTCTATATCACAGCTCAGTGAATGTCAACAATTTAAATGCAGGCCCTTAGATTTGCCATCACCAGGCTAACTTTGCCATCTAGTGGTGACAATGTGGATAGCAGGCAAGTTCCAACTCCTGAGGACTAGGAATTGCAGTTTCTTGAGGGTCACTGATGAGTAAGTTATTTGTGTTTTTCTTATTTGTGGTTTAATATGGGACTTTAGAGCTGAAAGAGATCTTAGAAATTTTCTAGTGCAACTCAATAGCTAAGATCTATTACAGATTCTTTTTAAAAATGGAATTTACTGGGGTGACATTAGTTAATAAAATTATATAGGTTTCAAGTGTATAATTGTATAATACATCATCTGTATATAGCATTGTGTGTTCACCACCCAGAGTCAAGTTTCTGTCACCATATATTTGATCCCCTTTACTCTCTTCTACCTTCTTTCCCCCTGTCCCTCTGGTTACCACTAAACTGTTTTCTGTGTCTATGAGTTTTTGTTTGTTTGTCTTGTTCGTTTGTTGCTTTCAGTCTTATAACCCACATGTGAGTGAAATCATATGGTCCTGATTTTTGCCAGAGATTCCTAAACAAGGAAAGAGGCTTTGAAATGATGCATAGCCCTCAGTATCCATTTGTTGAATAAACAAATTTATCTACCCTGTTCCAATTCTCTTCTCTCATAATACTGCTCCATGCCACTATAAAGTTTTATCATTATCTTGTTTTTAGTTCGAAAATTGCATGTCTGTACATTTTTCCTTAAAATGAAAATTTTCATTTATGTTTAAGTCTCTGAACCAAACATTCTTTTCCACTTTGTATCACTCCCAACTACTTCTTTCTAAACATTCAGGGCAGACAATTTAAAAAACTAGTTTCTTACCTTTATAACTGTATGAATTTCCTATTGCTGTTGTAGCAAATTACCGAAAACTTAGTGACTTAAAATAACACTTTATCTTATCGTTCTGGAGGCCAGAAGTCTAAAGTGGGTCAGCAGGGTTGCATTCCTTCTGGAAGTTCAAGGAGAGAATCTGTTCCCTTGCTTTTTTTCAGTTTCTAGAGGCCACTCTGCATTCCTTGGCTTGTGACCCTGCATTGCTCTGACCTCTGCCTCCATCTTTGCAGCTCCTTCTCACTCGAGGTCTTCCTGCCTCCTTCTTAGGGGGAATCCTTGTGATTACATTGGGCTCCCCTGGATAATCCAAGCTAATCTCATCTCAGAATCCTTAATCACATTGGCAAAATTTCCAAGGAACAATTCCTAAGTTTTGGGAATTAAAATGTGGCTCGTTTTGGGAGCCATTATTTGCCATAAACAATGAGAGACACGGTAGTTAGCTATGTATGCAACCCCTTGTAAATACCTACTTTTGTCTGGACTCCCATTGTTTGATATTAGCAATAATAATTCTGCCTTTTGTTGAATGGTTATTGTGCTCTGGGCATTGTGCGGATATATATCATATTAGTTCCCCACAAAAATACTCTAAAATATTATTTCTGTTTAACAAATGTGGAAAATAATGTTTGGAGAGATTAAGTAACCTTCACAAAGTCACACAGCTAAGAAGTAGCAAGCGTACTTAAAGTGCCCACTGCCTCCATAATCATTGAAACACCCTAGTTCTTATTCTCCATGCTTATTAACATCACTAACACTCTTATTTTCTCATGGCTGTAATTTCGTACACCTTTTAACTTAAATGTTGCCCACATTCATTGCTCCAGTCTGTGATTACCATTCTAGTGAGGGCCTAAAGGGAATTGAACTTTATAAAATACCTATTCTTCAGGAATTGAACTTTATAAAATACCTATTCTTCTCTATATCTGCCCCCAATTTGTGAAAGTGACTCTTAAAGTTTTTACAAGTGTTCTTCAAGACCTCACCCATTTAATGCTTGCTTTACACCTGTTTACTCTCATTAGTAATGCCCCACCCCCTCTGCTGTGGCCTTTTGCCGAAACCAGCACTTCTCTCTGCACTTATTTAGAATATCTGGGCCAGGCCACAGTGTCTACCTGTTGTGTGTCACTCTTTACTGAGCAGGTGGAGGATGAAAGTGGAGGAGGAGATGGCTGGTGCGTGTTTTCACATTTACATATGTGTGTAAATGTAGGCAGTGATGTTGGGAGAGGCAGATGTTTGGGATTGTGGACTGCTAAAAAAAAAAGACCAGCAAGCTGTAAAAAGTGGTTATGTAATCATTGGTGTGCCCCAACATATACATTAAGGTAGAAGTTGGTGTTGGCCCTATAAGTTTATCGATCTAACTGAGCAGTCCCTTACCCACACCAGCCCTACCCCTGAAAATGCTTAACAGGTTCATGCAAAATCATGTTCCATGCAGCATACTATACACGTGAATTTGGACAACAACCTAACTATACATTACAAGGGGCAAGTGAAAAGAAAGGCCTGAGTAGGTGTTAAAGAACGCCTAGCGAGGGAAAGCAATTCAGTGGAGATCGTTGATGGTAAGTCAACAGCCTCATTTTTCATATACAACAAAATCCATTTGAAATGTTTAATGTAGTGAGCAATCATCTAATCTTCCTTAGTCCACTTGCCCTACCTAAGATAAACTATAAATAGAATTATGTCATGCCACAGTAATACTCTAGATACTCTCAAAAAGTTAGTTTTTTCTTTTTCTGTAAGTCACTCCCTTAGCATAATTATTTTGACATGGACTTTGTTTCTTTTTAGGCAGAGGGCCTAATTCAGAATTCCTAATGTAGATCCAGGCTATAAATAAGACACAGGAAATGCACTTCAAGTGTTCTGTGGCTGGGTAATATTTAATCATACTAAAGTTTAACAGTAATAAGAAAAAATATATTACAAAGCCACAGATATTCATAGGAGGGAGTAATTAGGAAAAAATTCATTTGGGAAGTCTCTAAAGGGAAGCTGTCCTAAAACAAATCAAAACAGAACCAAGAAAAAAGGAAATGTGAGAGTGTGTTGCAAACCACCCTGAAATAAAAAATATTTGACTGTATAATTGACGTTTTTAGACAACTAAAAGCACTATCACTTTGGCTTATGTATAAATTGTTTTAAAGTGATAGTTATTTACCCATTAAGTGAGAACAGTAGTGATAAAAGAGCCTGTTATTGATGCTTGCCATGCTTTGAGCTCCGTTGTGATTCTTTGCATATATCATCTCATTTAACCCCCAAAATTATGTTACAAGGTAGAGCTCATGATTGTCCCCACTTTGCAGGTGAAGAAACTGAAACTAACGTGAACTTAATGAACCTAACAAACTGTCCAAATTCATATGCCTACTAAGTGGTAAAGATGAGACAGCCCAAGTCTTCTCATTTCTTGGTCTGCATTTGTAACGACTAGGCTGGTCTAGATACTCAAATATTCTCTACTATCAGCAATGACATTTCTGAGAAAGCATAAGCAAACAAACCAAAAATAGTCATCTTTTGGAGTTATGTGTGGTCATTTCTATTCTTATAAACCAGGTACAAATTTGGAATAATATTTGCTGTATCAGTAAAAGTTCATTTGCATATCCTGATATTCTTCCTGCCTAATTCCCTTTCAATCCATTTGTTTCCAAAGTCCATCCAACCCATAATCAGCTGTGTGTTCACTGATGCATGGACGAGAGCCATGACTGCAACCTCACTTTCATTAACCAAAATTGGAATTTGAAGCCCCAAATCCAAGCCATCTGGAACGTGACAGTGAAGGTCACAATTGTAATGAAAGATAGGAAAAATGATGATGAGGGAAGACAAGGGTCATTAAGACTTTCAAAATATTACAGCTGCCCCACCAACTGGGACTGTGTTTCTTTAGATCAACAACTTAGTGCTTTTAGGGTGATGGGCATGTGTAGCTGTATCCACAAACCATGGATTACTCTATCGGTAAAAGCTGTCATTTACATTACATTGACATTTTACCACAAGCAAACTTAGATTTTCCAAAAGAAAGTGTCCTTAAACATTTGCCCAATTTTAAATTACAGGCCAAATTAGGCTAACTGAATCCATGTCCTCTTATTACTGTGATTCTGAGGTCACATTACAAGGCTCAGCCCTTCCCATGCCCAAGGATAGATGTGGGCATGGTTTTATTTCTGTGGGGCACTGCAACAGAGCTCCCTCAAAGGGCACTAGACAGGGCTGGCAAACTGATGCACTTGCATGATCTGTGGCATCAGATGTTGGAGGTATTACATACAAGCCTACTGAGTTTGAATCTTTTTTTTCTTTATTAAATGACCGAACCATTCAATATTAGCAGTTGCTACCATAGCAGAAGAGCAAAGTTCAGAATAAATTTGTTTTGTACACAAACATGAGGCAGATACCATTTGGTTAAGCAGTCATCCCTGGAAAGACTGCCTTCTGGGGTGTGGCTTAAGCTGTGGCAACACGATGGCCTTGGCTGCTGCCATGATTCTCAAACTAATGAGTATCAGAATTGCCTGGAAGGCTGGTTAAAACATGGATGGTTGGGAACCCGCCCCACTCCTGGAGAGTTTCAGACAGTAGGTGATTGGGCCTTGAAACTGGCATTTTAAACAGGTTCCCGGGTGATGCTGACCCTGCTGGTCTGGGGACTACAGTCTGGACTTCCTTTGATATGACGGACTTTATATTTGGCCACATACAAGTACAGAATTTTATTAACAAACTAATAACATTCATTTGAGTTGTCTGTGTTTAATTTTGAGTCCAAAGGCAGGCAAAAAACCCACTGCCCCAGCTCAAAGCAGTCAGGCAGGAGGAGATTCCTCTTACTCACAGAAAGGTCAGCCTTTTTATTCTATTCAGGCCTTCTACTGATTGGAGGAGGCCCACCCACATTAGAGAGGGAAAACTGCTTTCCTCATTCTATCGATTCAAATGTTAATCTCCTCTAGAAAGAGCCTCACAGACACACCCAGGATAATGTTTGACCAAATATCTGGGCACCCTGTGGCCTATTCAAGTTGACACACAAAGCTAACCATTACATGGGACTTCTTTAAACCTGCCTACAGAATTATGGCACAGAGTGCATGTAAAGAGTAGGGGAGCTTTTATATTTTTGGTTCATATGCTAGTTCAATGATTTGTATAGTAAAAGATCACCTTGTGAGTTATTTAACATTTGCATTCTGCCTTTCTGATCCCCAACTAGATAAAAAATTGCAAGACTAAGTACTGAAAAAAAAATTAAACCTAACTGGAGAAACAATACCACACTACCATGATTTAGACATCCTTTATATTGCCTAGGAATGACTTTCACACATTTATTACTCCACAGATCAGTAGTATCTACTGTTTATGTACAAAGTGATTTTATGTATTTTTCAATGAGGATATTTGACTTCCAGTCTTTGATTTGTAATCATATGTTAAGTATGCAATAGATAGCTGTTATCATAAAGGGCTAAATGAAAAATCAATTTTTAAGCTTTCATTTCCCAGATCAAAAAATTTCTTGATTGAAATATTGCTAACAATCAAGTGGATAGGCGATATATATATATATATATATATATATATATATATATATATAATTTGTTGTTTTTGGTTTTTTGGGGTTTTTTTTGGCAAAGATATAATTTTTTATCCTGGTAACTACCCAGTTAAACATAGGATTTCAAGGCCTCAGTAGAATTATTGAGTTAGCCTTTTCACTCCAATTCAATTAAATAAAACTGATGAAATATCCATTTGAAAACTGCATAGAAGATCACAAAAGAAAATACTATGTGGCAATACGTCTTTATGTCTAAGTCATCTGGAAATAAGGCTGTAGGAGACCTAGGAAGGAAGCGGCTTAGGCAACAAAGGACCCCAGTTAGCCATCCTGTCCTGTCTTCCATGTGTTGTGTTCTCCAGGGAGATAGAGGTGGAGGTGGCAGGTGGGGGTTGAGGGAGGTGGGTTAGGGCTGGTGGAGGGAAGGCTGGGTGAAAAACAGATTACTGATTTTGAAAATCTGGATAAGCCTACTTAGCAGGGTGTTTAATCTCAATAAAACCTAAGTATGGTGAAAATAAGGAATCCTATTTGTGGTGAAGGTACATTTAGGAACCAAGAACTAAATTCTCTCTCTCTCTCTCTCTCTCTCTCTCTCTCTCTCTCTCTCTCTCTCTCTCTCTCTCTCTCTCATTTTTAAGGTCAAAAGAGAAGAACAAAATGGAAAATATGCTGTTTTGGTTGATATGTTTCACGCTTGGGTGGACCATCATTGATGGATCAGAGATGGAACAAGATTTTATGTGGCACTTGAGAAAAATACCCCGGCTTGTCAGTGAAAGGACTTTCCATCTCACCAGCCCCACATTTGAGGCAGATGCTAAAATGGTGTTAAAGAGAGCGTGTGGCATCGAATGCCAGAAAGAACTCCCAGCTCCCAGCCTTTTGGAACTGGAAGATTCTCTTTCCTACGAGACTGTCTTTGAGAACGGCACCCGAACCTTGACCAGAGTGAAAGTGCAAGGTTTGGTCCTTGAGCCAACTCAAAATAGCACCACGAAAGGAGCACCTGTTAGAAGAAAGAGACAGGTGTATGGCACAGACAGCAGGTTCAGCATCTCGGACAAAAGATTCTTAACCAACTTCCCTTTCAATACAGCCGTGAAGCTCTCCACGGGCTGCAGTGGCATTCTCATCTCCCCTAATCACGTTCTAACAGCTGCCCACTGCGTTCATGATGGAAAGGACTACATCAAAGGGAGTAAAAAGCTAAGGGTAGGGTTGTTGAAGATGAGAAATAAAGGAGGTGGCAAGAAACGTAGGGGATCGAAGAAAAGCAGGAGAGAAGCGAATGGTGGTGACCAAACAGAAGGTAGCAGAGTGAATCTGAAGGAGAGAGCCAAGGCTGGAAGAAGAAGAAAGGAATCCACTCGGGGTCAGACGGTAGCTGAGGGGAGGCCCTCCTTCCAGTGGACCCGCGTCAAGCATACCCACATTCCCAAAGGCTGGGCTACCGGAGGGAGGGGGGACGCCGCCTTGGACTATGACTATGCTCTTCTGGAGCTGAAGCGCGCTCACAAAAAGAAATACATGGAACTTGGAATCAGTCCAACCATCAAGAAGCTGCCCGGCGGGATGATCCACTTCTCAGGATTTGATCACGATAGGGCAGATCAGCTGGTCTACCGCTTTTGTAGTGTGTCGGATGAATCCAATGATCTCCTCTATCAGTACTGCGATGCGGAGTCGGGCTCCACTGGCTCCGGCATCTATCTGCGTCTGAAAGAGCCAGACAAAAGGAATTGGAAGCGCAAAATCATCGCGGTCTATTCAGGCCACCAGTGGGTGGACGTCCATGGCGTGCAGAAGGACTACAACGTGGCTGTCCGCATCACTCCTCTCAAGTTCGCCCAGATTTGCCTCTGGATTCACGGAGCTGAAGCTAACTGTACTTACGGATAACAGAAGCCAGAAACCATGGATTGTCTCAATGGCAGAGAAAACCAATTCTGATTATTGTAGCAAGGTCACTTCACAGGTTATGCTCGGGCTTGAACCTTATCAGATAGAGTTTCAATATTCTTATAAATGTACTTTTTTCAAAATTAGATTTTCATACATTTAAAAATGTTTAGGTAAAGACTGAAACTAGATGGGCATTTCAATGCTAAGTGTATATTCTTATATTCTTCTTTACATGGTGATAGCTTCATTCATTTGTTGGAAAAACAATTTTTTCTGCCTTTTTAAAAATTAGACACTTTTTAAAACTTTAAGCTAGTACTATAAATAATATGTGATTTCACAATGGACTTATTCTCAGGGTCCTACTCTAAAAAGAATCTAATAGGATGCCAGTTGCATATTAAATGTGAAACTGCATATACAGAGGTAGACAATAACATGTAATTAGAATCAAGTTAGGCACAAAAATTTACAAGAGTTAGTAACACTCTGAGAAGGACCCATTTAGTTCACTCCCTCAGTGTTTAATACTGTGTTTTTGTTGGGTCTCAGAAACTTCAGTTTTTTGTTTTTTTTTTAAAGGATTACAAGGAACAGCAAACCTTATCAACAAAACTGTTAACTATTTTACTGCTTTAAAAAGTATCAGCTGAAGTATGTATTATATGAAAATGAGAGAAATACTTTGTTCTATGAAATAAATCTAGTTCAAAAATAGGGAAGCTGAGACATTTTAAGAACTGAAGTTTTTATTTAACTAATATTCAAAATATGGACTTTTCATGTATACATAGGGAAGACAGTTCCAAAATGATAAGTGATCATGCATCGAAAGGCACATCACTTTATGCTACACATTCTCCTATGTATGAGATGTTAAAATTTTAGGACAAGGAATTCTAGTCTTTTTCAAAAGACAGCCTTTTTTTCCCCTTGACGAATTTGGCTTTCTTTTTTTTTTTTTTTTGCTGAGCCATCCTGCTACCTATTGGCAGCTCAGCGGCTGCTCAGCTCGGGCTGGACTCGAACCGCTGTTGCTCAGAGCTCAAACTCTTGAGCGAGCTCTTAACCAACTGAGCCACTCGGCCGGCCCCCTGAATTTGGCTTTCTTAATAGGGTCATTGACATATTATTTTGGTGAATTCACTAATTACAAATTTTAGATATGTCCTTTCCTAAAAATGAATATAATTATGAATATAATTTTTAAAAGAAGGTTCTGATTATTTTTACTAGGGACCAAGTCTGTACACTCACTCTAGCCATCATGGCAACCTAAGCAGACAGAGAGAGCCCAGTGGCTGTCTTGGGGCACTCAATACGTATTTCCTGAATGAACAGAGAGGTTACTGAATTGTTGTAAAAGAGTATTAGTTCAGGCCCTTATGTTTAAAGGGTTGTAGTGATTTGTACTCGAGTAAACCATGAAATTCAGGAATTGCAGGCCTAATTTCTGGTCCTCTCTTCCTGGTGGTTTCTAGGGCACATATTCTCTTTTCTCATAACACACCAAAGTCACTGATTCTGCCAGAGTTCAAATTTATTTTAGTTATTATTTTTTTAAGAATGGGGAGTTACATCTTGACTATGTTATGCAAAGGAATATTTGATCAGATTACAATAAAATGATCTTGTAAATGGTGTCCAAAATAGCTGAAATTCAATACAAGTGTACATTCTTTTATAATGTGAATCAGTTAAAAGTCATTCAATAAAAATTAAAAAATAAATCAATTATAACTCTTATTGTACCTGCATATATGTTTTATAAACAGGATTTCAGCAAGTATTTAATTGTCATTTATTTAAAAATGATTCTATTTAATTCTAAACACATCTCACTGAGTAGTATTTTATCATTGGTGCTAGTGGAATAGGGATACTGACTTGAAAGTTTTACTCAGATCTTTTCTGGAGAATCATCTATATGATCACTACAATGAAAAATGTTTCAAGGTGAACTTTGCACAGTTATTGCAAACACACACACAAAATCTTCATCTTAGGTTTTTAGAAAATAATTCCTGGGATTTGAGTAAATTAGGATTAATTTAGAGTGCTTAATGTCAATAGTCTGGTGTTTAAGATTAAATTCTGAATATATATAAGATCCTAAAAATCACTATTTTTCAAAAATACAACATTTAACTCATTTTCTTTGCAGAGGTTTACTAGATTCTCTCATTCTCTTTTCTAACTGAATCATGAATCTTATATGAGCTATTGGGTTGTCAGAAAAGTCATGATGTATTTTTGCAACGAAAAACAGAAAAAATATGTCATGATGTTTCCGACAACCCAATATTTAGGACCACTAAAACGTACTACATTACTCAGAAAGTTATACTTCATATACTTGTTCTGTTATACTTAACAGATTTGAAAAAAGAAAATTAATTTGAATTCACTTAGCTAAATAAATATACTCAACACATATTACATCTGCTATGTGCAAAGGACTGTATATTGACTTACTGTTTAGAGAAGCTTCTCAATGGTTGAATTCAAATAACTACATTTAAAATTACTGCAATTTAATCTTGTGGGTTTTTTCCTTCCCAAATATTTATATTTTTTCTTGCTCAAATGGATAAATGTGTGGGCAGAAGAAACATTCTTTTTTCCTTTTTAATATGTTTCTCAGTTAAATCCCAAAAGTACATTTTGAAAAAGATTTAAATGTATTTATGACCAAGATCAGATTTCTGGACAAATCATTACCTTTTTTTATCTGCAAATCAAAGAATTCTTTGCAATTCTTATTTAATAGAAAGAATAGCTAGGACTTCCAATACTATGTTGAATAAAAGTGGTGAAAGTGGACATCCCTGTCTTGTTCCTATTCTTAAGGTGAATGCTTTTAGCTTTTTCCCCTTTGAGTATGACATTAGCTGTGGGTTTGTCATACATGGCCTTTATGATGTTGAGATGTGTTCCCTCTATTCCCACTTTGCTGAGAGTTTTAATCAAAAGTGGATGCTGGATTTTGTCAAATGCTTTTCTGCATCTATTGATATGATCATATTTTTACTTTTCATTTTGTTTATGTGGTATATCATGTTCATTGATTTGCAGATATTGAAACAACCTTGCATTGAACGAGGGATGAATCTCACTTGATCATGATGTATGATCTTTTTAATGTATTGCTGAATTCGTTTTGCTGATATTTTGTTGAGGATTTTTGCATCTATGTTCATCAGGGATATTGGCCTATAGTTTTCTTTTTTTGTAACATAATTGTCTGATTTTGGAATCAGGGTAATGGTGGCCTTGTAGAGTGATATTTACAGCTAGAACTGATCTTTCCAATGGCCAAATTATAAAGTTCAGAAATATTTAGGAGATTTGTTCTAATCAATGGTGTGAAATCCTGTTCTCATCAGATGGCATCAGTGTATAGGCAGATTTACAAATAGTTATCGATGTACCATTCAACTAAGGAGAGGAAACACCCTTAAATGTTTTTTTTCTTCCACTTATAAGTAAAGTTTAGGGAGGAAAATTCCCTGTTCATCCTTTCTGGCAGTTCCACCCAATTAGTGAAACAGTCTAGAGCAGGGGTCGGCAAACTGCGGCTCGTGAGCCACATGTGGCTCTTTGGGTACGTTCCGTCTCAAAAGTTTGCTGACCCCTGGAAGAGCCAACCCTGTCCCTCACAACAATGTAAAAATTACTCGAGAGCCATAAATATATTTTTAAATAATCGCCATTATGTAATATCTTTTTTAAATTTTATAAATGAAACTATGATAGTTTTCTTTTTCTTTTTTTTTTAAGCTGAGCCATCTTGCCACCTGTTGGCAGGTCAGCGGCTGCTCAGCTCGGGCCAAGAATCGAACTGCTGTTGCTCAGAGTTCAAACTCTTGAGCGAGCTCTTAACCAACTGAGCCACTCAGCCGGCCCTGATAGTTTTATTTTCATTTTCAATTTCACTTCAGAATTTGCAGCTCGTGAGCTGCAGTTTGCTAACCCCTGGTGGCTCTCCCATCTCAAAAGTTTGCCAACCCATGGTCTAGAGCATGGTGGCCAAAATAACTTGTGATTCCCAACCTGGGCTAATTTGCTTTACCCACAGGTAGGTTATTATCTTAATCAGCTCAGACTGCCATAGACTGGTGGCTTAAACAATAGAAATTTATTTCTCACAGCTTTAGAGGCTGAAAGTCTGGCAAGGTAGGTTTATGTGATATAATTGAAAGAAAGAAAGAAAGACTGGAATATCCTAAGAGCAGAAACCAGCAATCATTTATCCCAGAAAAACGTGTGTGTGTGTGTGTGTGTGTGTGTGTGTGTGTGTGTGTGTGTGTGTGCGCGCGCGCGCACGGGCTGCTGTATGTGTTGGGAGGATTGCAGTGAGGTAGCTCTTGCTCTCTGAAACTAGTCATCCTCCCCTCTCTACCATTTTGTTCCTCCTAAACTTCCAGCTTAGACTGGGGTTTAGCTAATAACACAGTGGTTTTCTAAGACCTGCCTATTAAGGAGTTTATTTCTTCTCTACTAGATAAATGATTCATGGACTTCACAAGAATAATCCCTAAGAGTCCTGGGGCTTCCGGAAGATAAGGAAGAGAATCCCTTTCTGTTCTATGCACCCTTCCTCCCCTTACCAGCCCTTCCACTCCCATTAACTGACAGGAATCATGACTCTGCACTTGTTGTTTTACTTAGAATTTAAACTAGTGCTACTGACCTAGATCACGAAACAAGGTAAGTTTCAGGGTACAGGAGAAAAAAATGTACTAATATACAGTAGAGCGATATGGGAGAACATGTGAATTATTTTTCCTTAAACTTATTTAAATGGACCAGCTGTCAGAAAAATTTGCAGCTAACAACTTAGAAGATACAACGTTTTAATTTTCCAATTTTTTTTATTGCAATACCTGCAAAAGTGCTGTTCTTTTTTGTTTGTTTTAAAATCAGAATGGGGTTGGTGCCAAGATTAAACTGCTAAACAAAAGTACCACTTTATCAAGCAATTGCCTAAAAATAAGTGTGTTATTTTTGAGACAACTGAATTTAGTATTCTGCCACTGCACTTGGAAGGTTTACTTTAAAAGGTTTTTTTGTGGCCTTGACGAAATAAGCGACACTACTGCACCCACCAAATGGGCAGTTGTGCCACTTCATGTAGATTGATATGTGACTGATGTGGCTCCCTAAACGGATGTCCTGGGCCCACATATAACAGCATGTCTCTCCTGCACATGCTCCTAAATGAAAGCTTGGGTTTTCCTGAAAACTGGTGGATCATAATGCTACATGGACCACCATTATATAACTAGTAACTAAATGTGTCAATTTTTAGGCTAGATTAAACAAAATACTCTTTGTGGCTTTCCTATTTTGAAATTTTCTCTTTGGCAGGAATCATCTGTAACTTTCAAATAGAGCTACACAGTGTCAGTCCACCCGGTTTATATATGTCAGTGGTTTCCCTTAGCCTCGTGGTTTTCAAATTTGGCTGCTCATTGGAATAACCTAGGGAATTATTTTAGAAAGCCCGTTTCCAGGGCTTCACCAAGATCTTCCCTGGAATCCCTAAGGCTGAGGTCTGAAAATCTATATTTGATAAAACCCTCCAAGTAGCTATCATGATCATCCAGGTTTGGGGGCCACTGTCATAGCCTATCTTTCCTAAACTAACTGTTCTTCCACCTCCCACAGTTCTCCCTCTATGCACAATGATGTTTTTCTTTTTCTTCCAGGTGAAACGTTTTCACAGTTTCACCTGCCTTTATATTTTTTCTTGTAAACTCCCTCAAGTACTTTAGTAAGGAATGTGGTGGTAAAACTATCAAATACTTAGATGGTGTTCTTTTCAGTATTTTTATAACATGGAAACATATTTTAGTAATAACAATGTCATAATAGTGTCTTATGATGGTAAGAAATGAGTCAAATTTACAAAACATCTGAACATACGTGATCATTTTACAATCAGCGG